TATATATATATATATATATATATATATATATATATATATATATATATATATATATATATATATACACAATGTATATATACAGAATATGTATAGATTTAAATAAATTATTTTATTAATGCTGACAGCCCTAATCCACACACTGACCAGTGGATCTGACTCAACGGAGCTGGGCGGCGTCTCTTTATGTGGCCGATCGTCTCCTGGCTGGCTGGGGCTGCCGGGGCCTGTGCTCGGGGGAGGCAGGTGGAAGAGTTTGGCCTGGTCTTGCTGAGCAGACGGCCAGGGCAGAGATCCTCTGACCCACTCCACCGGATCCTCCCACACCGACTTCTGCCCGTGAACCTGCAGACACACATATTTACACTGATTCAACCAAAAACTGCTCACTTGAACAGTTAGGAACAGTTAAGGCATTCTGACCGACAGGTTAAATATATCTTCAAGTTTGGGATACTTTGACCCACCTTAATGCCATCTTTGGCTCCTTCCTGCAGGTACGGGATGATTGAGTGATTCCAAAGATCGATAAACCACGTGCGGAATTCATCTACAGTTACTGGACAGGACAAGAAGAAGCAGGGACCTACGGCAACACAGATTGGACACACATAGATGAAATACTCCCTGAATTAGGCACATCAAGCTTGTTATTTAAAAAAATGCCTCCTCATTCTCATCCAATATGGTGCCGATATAAAAATGAAAATTACCAATGAGGAAATCAGAGGTGCTGTGTTTCTCCAGGAAGGTGTGAAGGTGGTACCAGAGTCTGGGCACCCAGTCCAGCACCCGCAGCAGATCTTCATTCTTCACACTCCTGGGATCTTCAGCCTCCATTAGCTTTCTGTGCAGGTAGCGTACCAGGAATCCGTTTGCTGGCTCGACGTTATTGGAAAACATCACCATCCTGTATAAAGGAAACATGGTAAAACAAATATGAAAACTGATAAATAGAGGACCATTCAAAAAGTTTGGGGTCAGCATTTTTTATTTAATTAATAGTTTTATCCAGCAAGGATGCATTAAATTGATGAAAAGTGAGAGTAAAGGCATTTATAATGTGCCAAAAAATTCTATTGTAAGTAAATTCTGTTCTTTTGTACTTTCTATTCATCACAAAATCCTGAAAAACCGATATGTCCACAAAAACAGTAAAGAGCAACTGTTTTCAACAAAAAGAAGAAACGCTTCTTAAGCAACAAATCAGCATATTAGAATGATTTCTGAAGGATCATGTGACACTGAAGACTGATGATGATTTGATCACAGGAATAAATTACATTTAGGGGAAGTCGTGGCCTAATGGTTAGCGAGTCGGACTCGTAACCCAAAGGTTGTGGGTTCGAGTCTTGTACCGGCAGGGATTGTAGGTGGGGGGAGTGAATATACAGCGCTCTCGTCCACCTTCAATACCACAACTTGAGCAAGGCACCAAACCCCCAACTGCTCCCCGGGCGCCGTGGCATAAATGGCTGCCCACTGCTCCGGGTGTGTGTGTACGCACGCTGGATGGGTTAAATGCAGAGCACTAATTCCAAGTATGGGTCACCATCATACTTGGCCACATGTCACGTCACGTTTTTTAAAATTGTTTGAGTAAATATTTCACAAACAATATTCATTTCAGCAAATCTGTGTATATCTCTTTTGCTAACATTAAACCCTATTATATCATAAATGTGTGTGTAAAAATACTGTATATAAAAGTTAATGTACAGTCAGCCAGTCATTGTGTAAAAATAAACCCCAAACACAGTGATGAAGGTCTTATATTATCCTGAAGAGCTTTTTTTTTTTTTTTGCAATAATGACCAGCTGACTGTATATTACCCTGCTTATCATGACTACTTGTCAAATAAATGACCAAATGGACATGTAACTTTTATTTATAGTGACATTATTTGATATTTGTTATATTTTATGTTTGAAAAAAGAGACGAGTGAAAACTAGCACTTCTATGCTTAGAACTGTGGTTTGTGAGTTAGGCCATACAGTAAATTTTAACACTATAAAATAAGAAAATTAGGCATCCTTTTGCAGTATATAGGGAGTGAAAAGGCAAGCACATGTTATTGTCACCCAAAGCGACAATGAAAACAAAAGCAGGAGGGGCAACACGTCCCAGCTGTTCTTCACTGACACTCGACAGGAAGCTAAAAGGACCTTGTGTATGTTAGCACTGACCAACCTGAAGCTGAGGTGTAGGCCATGGTTAGGGGTCATCTTCACTGGCTGATTGGTTGTCCCTATTATATATGGACTGAGAAAGAGAAACAAAACAGCTCTTGACACCTTTAAGATGACTGGGAAACCCACTTGTCATTTTTGGTGTAGACTTTCCTAGACTCACCATTTATGATATTTACAGGTTAAAGCACCATTAACAAGTTCACTGAGGGATGTTGCATCATGCACATCATCCAAGATGACAACCAATGGGATCTCAGCCGTGCTGCTCTCCCGATCGATCTGATTGGCCAGATCGGCCAGATAGAGCTGAAGGTCCTGTTGGGATAAAAAGACAAAAACAGAGTCAGAGGTTACGTCAGGTCAAGTCGAATCACATTTATTTATATAGCACTTTATGCAACACTGTTTTAAAGCAGTTTCACAGTAACAAACAAGAAAATAACAAATTTACAAAATTATTAATTGCAAAAAAATAAAATAAAATAAATTTCAGCTGTAAATTAGCTGTACAGAAGACAACAGTGTTATAATTCATTTAACAATTCATTTATTCATTATGACAATTGTGTATTGCTCATTTAAAAATGATATATTTATAATAATCTATCTTTATAATAATATCTTCTAAAAATAGAAATTGGCACAATATTCATCTCAACAGAAGACAACAGTGTGATTTTGCAGCTCAATTCAGTTCAGTGTTAATTTAATTTAGTTCAATAACACCGTCAATGTTGCAAAGTTCATCAATTATGAAACATTTTGTATTCAAACTAAATTTGAATCATACTGTAAGTCTCACTACTCACAAAGGCACGTTTCAAGAGCTAGACAGGGTTCATTATGGTTTAAGTGTTTTGTTATTTATGTATATTACTAAATATATTAATATTTGTGTTTTTAATATAATTATAAATGACATCTGCTCACCAAGCCTGCATTTATTTTATCCAAAATACAGCAAAAACAGTAATATTGTGAAATATTTTTACAATTTCAAATAACTGTTTTGCATTTGAATATATTGTCAATTGTAATTTATTCCTGTGATGCAACACTGAATTTTCTGCATCATTATTCCAGTCTTAAGTGTTACATGATCCTTCTAATAAGCTATTTTGTTGCTTAAGAAACATTTGTGATTATTATTGATGCTGAAAACTTTTTTCAGGATTCTACGATAAACAGACAGTTAAAAAGAACAGCATTTATCTGAAATATAAAGCTTTTCATTATTCAGCTCAATTTAGTTCAATGTTGATTCAATTTAGTTCAATAACAGTGTCATCAAAGTTCATCAGTTGTAAAATGACTTCAATTTCAGCTGTAAAAAAGCTCTACAGAAGATCAAAGAGCCGTTATCCAGCTCAATTCAGTTCAAGTTGTGTTCTAATCTAATAAAAATAAGATCCCTGAATGTGAATATCTTGTCTGTGTACCTTGCAGGACTGGCGGTGCATGTTGAAGGTGGTGGTGATGGCGGGTGTAACCTCTCGAGCGCTGCGCTCCACCAGGTACTCGGCAAGGCGGTTGGTGAGGTAGGTCTTCCCTGTGCCGCTGGGGCCCGATAAGATCAAGCGCCGGTGCTTGAGCAGCAGACTGATGTAATGCTGCATCATGGGCTTGGGGATGAGCGACTCAAACACCAGAACGTCCACACACTTCTCCTTCAGTCCTGCAGTCAGGGGAAACAGTACAATACAGATAACATGTTTTGCCTTTATCCAAAGCAACAAATGACTGACATTTACAAGCACTTTGCTGAGTTTCAATAGTAAGCTAGGTTTATTGTGACTTTTTAATATAGTAGAATAACCCCTATATATATATATATATATATGCGTGTAGGAATATTAACAAGCTTTTTTTACAGATTGAAGAGTAAGCTAGAGGTTTATTGTGGTTATTTCTAATCTATATAAAAATAAAATTTTTATGCTTAAATTTATATATAGAAATAGAATATATATATATATATATATATATATATATATATATATATATATATAGATATAAATAACCACAATGTATATAAATATAAATACAATTTTAGCCACTCTAAAAATTTAAGGAACCGTTTGGCTCAAACAAATAACGACTTTTTTATTATTATAGCTGCTATGTTGATTATCATAATTCTATTTTTTGCTTGATTCTTGATCAATCAAAAATTTTGCATGCTGTTTTCAATTTCACAAGTGACATCAAGCATCAAAACAATATAATGTGCAATAGAAATAATAGTTAATTGTACAGTATCAATGGGAAAAAATACACCATTGCATTATATGCTTATAATATCACCCTATTCAGACTGATAATGATAATGTAACCATGACTAATGTAACTATTAATCTGTTAGACATGTTTTAATGCTTCTGATTAAAGATATGTAGGCTATTTTTTAAATCTTAAGAGTGTATGTAAAGTATTTTTTAAATGCAGTACAGGAAGAAATTACACCCAGAATAGAGGGAACACACAGAGAGAGAGAATAGGCAAATGAGTGTGTTTTCTTTAGTCTGGGTGGTCTATAGCATCACACCACCTCAATAAACAACTCTGAATTGCAGCCTGTGCTTAAAATAACACCTAGACCAAGCCCAGAGGAGTCTGGGTAACGGCCCTGATCCCCGGGGTCATATATCAGACTGAGAGCTCAGGAATGATGGGATTGTGGATCTGCTGTTTAATCACACCTCCTGCTGGCTGCCGTTACAGTCAGAAACATTAGCGCTATATTGCTCTTCTCTGGGGATTTGAGTTATGAAAATACCTCATTCACACTGCAGCGCTGCCTGTGGGTGTTAGCATTGTTTGTTGACGGTTATTGAAGATGGAAATCTGAAAATAATGGCTTACAGTTTATATGGAAAAATACTGAAAAATAGTGTCAGAGCATTTACTAGCTTGCGGACAGTAAAACAACTTGTGTTTGAGCACTGTTAGAAATTGTAACTGCAAAAGGAAGGAATTTCAGATGCGGGAAATAAAGCATAATATTGTCCACAATTAAGCATTTATTTCATGTAAAATATAGAAATAAAAATAATATAGTAATAAATAAAAATAATAATATAAAATATGTAAAAGTAATATTATTATTATTAGTAGTAGTAGTAGCATTAACCAGTGCATCTAATAATAATAATAATAAGTTTTATTTGAAGTACTAAAATATATATATAAAATATATATATATATATTTCTAGTGATATATAATATGGCTTGTCACAATTAAGTATTTATATGATGTAGAGTAGATATTATACATTATATAAATACTTAACTAGGACAACCCTCTTCACGTGGCTTAGGCTGTAGCTGTAGATGGAGTCCTGAGAGAGACCGAGACTGGAGCCGGGGTCCACCACCGCTAAATACTCCTACAGACGTACGGTGACAGCACATTCTCAAAGTGTGATTTATTTTGTGTCTAAATGTGTGGATGTTTCTGTTCCTCAGAAGACTGCAGAGGGCACTTACTTTAAAAGCCTGGATAACTACAGAGTCCAGAGAAAACCAGTCAGTCCGTCCGCTGATTTTAACCGTGCCAATGAAAAACTCCAGCTGTTTCACCTCCTATGAATGAGACACTTTCAAATGAGCTTTAAAAATTTAAAGTAGATCAGGTTTTTTGTAGTTGTGAAACAACATATAAATTACAATTAATTATTCAATATATATAAATATTTTTTAATTACATTCAATATTCATTTACATTTTTAAATACAAAAAGGTTATTATTAAAAAGTAATATTTTCTTTGTTTTGATTAAAGATTATTTTAAAATATTACAAACAACAATATAAATAAAAAATATATAAAATGGTATAATTTTGTTAAAATATAGCTGAAATAAAACAAATATTAAATAAAGTCTTTGCAACTTCAGGGATCTTATCTATGCACAATCAGCTTGTAACACTCCAAAGAGAAAGGAAAACTTGAAATCGCATCATATGACCCCTTGAAAAACACAGTCTTGACGAGTAACTGAAATAAAATAAGTTTAAGTTGGAGTATAATATGTAAATGTAATATATGTAAAACATAAAAATAAAAGCTAATTCAAAATATTTATAAATAGGCTAATATATATAATATATAATATACTGAATAAAAATAATACAAGTCAGAGTTTAGAATCAGAACTATCCGTTTGATCAGCTGACTCATCAGGACGAAGATTGTGGTGTAAAGGACTCACGTCTTTGAATAGATGCTGATTGGGTATGCGAACCAACACTCTGACGAGACTTTGGTCCTTCTGCAATGTCGTGGTGGGGCTTTGAAAGACATCTGTGAGAGACGAACAGAAACTACAGTGAGAAAGTGTAGAATTCAAGAGCGTTTGGATGTGAGAACACCACATTTTATGCATGAAATCTCTGTGTGTAAATGTGTGACCTGGGTAAGGCTCATTTTGTCCCATGCCGGTTTTGCCGAAAGACGACACCGATTGCCGTGGTGATGAGACGACCAATGAACCGAGTCCAGAGGACTGGGAGGTGGAGCTCGGCGGTCTGGAGGAGGGGCCACTCGTCTTCAGCTGGTCATTCTCCGCCTTCAGGTTTTCCACCGTCATCTGTCAATGCATTTGTTAAGGGATTTAAATGAAGAAACCCAAGCATTACACATTTAATGTCAATTTCATTATAATTATTAACCAGTGTGCCTAAATAATAATAATAATAATTTATAT